GTCTTTTTTGGGAGTGGCTTTAGCTATACTGTTTTACTTTGGGGCCAGATTTACTGAAATGGCTGCTCTGAATACTCAGTCTGATTTGTGAAGGCTCTGCTAATAATGGTTATCAGTTCACTTATTCCTTCAAAAAATCAGACAAAGCTGTTCAGCTCTGGATTTCTAAGAAAAGCAAGTGGGGATAACACTTAGCTTTTTTATATTATTGTTGTTGTGAACCACCTGGAGCTATTTGGAACAGGATGGGGTCTATAAATACTTCAAATAAATACCACATATGTACATAAGACATGTACACATAAACAAGCAATCTTTTTGGCAAAGTTGCTACACAGCTATTCTCAAAAGTGGGAAAGGCTTGTTAGTGATATTAATCACTGAATAAATAAGCTTTTCTTTGGGCCCAAATGGGGTGATGGTGATATTTCATGGGCATTTCAAATGTGCATTTTTTTCCAGTTTTTTTTTTAAATTATGCCCAAAATGACACTCACTCTCTCTCACACACAGTTGCTCCTGCTGAAAAACAAGATATGGGTCATGTTATGTGAATCTAACCAATGACTTGATGCTGTTATAAAAACTCCCAGACAGAGGCAGAAGAGATGTTATAGGAAGGGGGGAAGATAGCTCCCCAATAAATCATTTGTGAGAGAGGCCATTCACAGAAATACCAAGGATCAATTAATCTGTCACTTTTGATTCATCTCCATTTCAACGGTGGTGGTTGGTTGGTTTTTTGCAACTTTATAATTTTGGTGTCTCTCTGTTTTTCATTTTTCCAGTTGAAAAGTGAATTAACCAGAGTTAGCATTAAAGTGTAGCATGTTGTGTAAGTTTGTATTGATCTAGTTAAATGTATTCTGTGAACACAGGCTTTAAGTGCTTAGGATTGAAAACTCAGGAGGTCCATGATGGATAATTAAATATCCATTGAAGTGGAACATGAAGAATGGACAGTCTGAACTTAGAACTCCAATTACTCAGAGGTGTGTTTAGCAGGACCAAATAAACGCAAGTATGGTTCAGACCTGTTTCTTCTGAAGCTGTTCCTGCATGCCTGATTCAACAAGTGAAATTAATATCCTAACCATCCATCTGTATTCACATCAGAGTTTTTGCAAGTTACTTGTGCAAAAGGAATGTTGTAGAATCCACGAATTGGAAGCGTCTTTAGGCCAGAAGATCCAAACCCACACCTATGCAGGAATCCAGTTTAAAACATCCCATGTATTCATCTTTCCAGGAAACCTCTCCTTAAATATATTTGCTGTCCAGGAGCCATTATTTACCTAGACAGCTGGTTCCACTGCTCTGACTTTTCAAAAGTTTTTCCTGACATTCAGCTGAAATCTGCCTTCCTGTGCTGTAAATGCATTCGTTTGTATCCTACCCTCTATGATAACAGAGAACAGGTTGTAGCCACTCAGAAACCAAGTACAGCCCTTGATGTCAAAGAGGTTGGGCACCATTGTCCTAAAAATAATCCTTCTAGAAGATCCTTCTAGATGAAGATCCTTCTAGAAATGCCCTCTGACACATCGTGGGGAATAACAGGGAAATTGGGAGAGGAACTCTTGGACTTACCTCTAGCAAATAGCACTTGGCATCTGCCTCAGAATGAAAGTAATTCTTTTTCCAAGCATATTTCTCACAGAGATTCTTTACCTAGATTTACTCAGAAGAAACAGTATAGGGTTACAAGAATTCTGGTAAATGAATGGCATGTGAAGAACTGGCAGTCCTCTTCATTCTTCAGAGGGTGCTTATAAAATTATCTCCTGAATCCTTATCAGCCTGGAAAGTGGTGTTCACATCTGCCTACAGCTGTCCTGTCTTATCAGCTTCTGGGAGGGAAAAGTGTTCACATGCACAATATGTGTCATAAACCAGTTTGGATGAATTCGTATTAAAGATGGAAGGGATAGAAAGGTTGGAGAACGAACCAAGGGAGATCTGAGCAGGGACTTGGGTCCCCAAAGTAGCTCCTTCAGCCTCTTTTGAATCTGCAGTTTAGGAGATACCTCACAATCCTGCAGCCTATGAGAACAGTCTTATTGCTGGATCATAGAGCAACAAATAGAATGGTGCAGAAGTACTAAGTTTCAAGGCTAAGTTTCTTGAGATCATGCTCTCTTAAGAAGTACCAGCTGGGTTCAGGTGGAGACCTCAACTGTTTCTGTATAAAGATCTTGAGCAGAAGACAATCAACTTCTTAAAGTAATGTTGATGATAACCTTTCTAGTACTTGTGCATCCAGAATGGCTCATGCCTGCTCATTTGGACTCCTAGATCTCATCAAACTTGACTATGTTCTGTGCCTGCTCCTCTAGGTTTATGGTTCTGCCTCTGCTATTCTGAATGCTGTATTAGACTTTAACTAACCTTGTTGCCTTCCCTCTGTTTTGAGTGTCTCTTGCTTCCTGATCTTTACTTACTGGACTACATTTTTTGCTTGTTCCCTGTTTTCGACAGAGCAAGAGCTGATGTGTAGCTTTCCATGCAGTAGGAAGATCTGATCACTGCCATGTGCTGGTAGTAGAAAAGGAAGTATCTATGAACAACTGCTAGGGCAATAGCTTCTTTCCTGTGGACAACCACATCATTTTTGTAGCTTCACAGTTTGATGTCATTGCAGAAAAGGCCTTCTGTCTAATAAGCCAGTTGGTTAGGCTCAGAAGTCAAGAATAGAAGGAACCAGGCCTCTGAAGCAAACTTCAGTTCACTGGCAGAACAGCAAACACCAATTAATGCAGGTGCTAAGTCAACTCAAGAGACACAGGCGGTTGCTGTAAATTATACCAAATGGTGGGGCTGTTCTTTCTTAATGCGCTCTTCAAAGTTCATACATTTTGTTATAAATGGACATGGGAAGAATCCAGGAGTGCACATTTTCCTTTAGGTAAATAAGATGCCATGATCTTGCCCTTTGAAGCTCAGGGGAAAATGATCTGTGTTTTGATACCAAACATGCTCCCTCTTTGCCTTACACATATCTATAAATACTGATGCACAAAAACTGAAGCCGCCTTGCTGTGTTTTTAGAATGTTAATGTTTCTTGTATACCACAGTTTCTAAAAAAAATGCCCAGCAACGTATTTATCTTTCTATGCTCATTAACAGAAAAATCACAGAAAGAAAACTCAGACTTTTTTTTTCAAAGTAAGAACAGCCATAGAGAGTTCATTTACAGGAGGCTGTGAATGAATCCCATTCATGACCATATGTACTTGTCTATACCAAAAGAGCTTTGTGTACAAGGCAATGGGTGAAAAAAAATATATGCAGTTCTGGGAGAGGGACACATGTACATTTAAAGTTCGCTTTGTTCCCTAATAATGTTGCTGTAGAATGTTTATATGGGAATGAGGACTATTTTAAATTAATTGGAATAACATTTGCGTTATCTAGAGGTAGTTCAAACATACTCTCTCCTAAGTGACTGTAAGGTGTAGATTTATATACAGTATGCACATAAGATATATCCATGTGCATTTGATACAGGTTGGAACTTTTGGGGGAGCAAATTTGTAAGCAAAGATAGATGGGAAGATGATTTTGCTAAAACTTTAGAGGGAAAAGGATTCTCCAGCCTTTTCTCAAGAATAAAACTCCCTCTTGGTGTTAACCCTAGCACTGCCCTGAAAAAGCCCTACTGGAGAAGTTTTCACCTGATATCTTTCTTTGGGATTGAGTAGAAGTATGAGATGCCAGGGAGGCAGTAAGCCACTAGAACAGTGTTTCTCAACCTTGGCAACTTTAAGATGTGTGGACTTCAACTCCCAGAATTCCCCAGCTAGCCATGTTGCCAAGGTTGAGAAAAACTGTACCAGAGAGATGACTTGAACATTAAAGACAGGGCAAAAAGTCATACACAGCCCTTGAACACCTTGTACTTTTAAAAAAATAAAGAAAAATACACACCATAAGTCTCTAAAATTCTGTTTTCTTTTGAAAGAAAATGCAAAAGCAAATTCTTTTTTTATCCAATTGAATGAGTACTAGTAGGGAAAAAATGCAGCAAAAATGTCTTTTAAATTTTACTATTATAATCAAACTTCTTAATAAAAATGAGAGAGACAGAGAGAGAAATAAATAAATAAATAAATAAAATAAACAAACAAATAAATAAATTGTGGCCTCCTCACACAGAACTACTTCTGAGCTTATATATTTTCTATATTCTCACGCGTATGTGGAAAGGTGTCATATCCCAACGGTGTGAAAAGTTTTATATTAGCCATGAAGGGGATCAGCTTAGATTCAAATCACCGATTTTGTCTGAAACATTAGATTTGATATGTTTGAAACTTTGACTCGAGTAATTTTTTTTCCAAAGCAATTTTTAAAAAGTGCACATGCACAAAACTTTTCTAAATCATCAGAATTATTGGGAAGCATTCAACTCAGCTTTTCAATCTATACTAATTCACCTTACAAGGTCATCTCCAAAGAGAAGTTTTCACAGTCCTAGTCGATATTACTATGGAAAATAAATAAATAAATAAATAAAGTGGCACCTCTCTAGCTAATGCATTTTTCTCTCTCCCTTTCTATCGCTGTATTTCTTCATAACCCGTCAGGAGGAACGTTTTGATTGAGAACCGCGTTATAATGTGAAACTCATCTGTCATTTTTGGATTTTCAGTTTTTATCTCCTCTGTTTCTTTCCCTCAGTTCTCTACTTTCCAAATCAATCAATCCACATTTCCTAAAAAAACAACCAGGCACGTTAAAAAAAAAAATGAATAAGAGCGCTGCTGATTCCTAATGCCTTTTTAAGAAACATTTTATGTGCCTGTATAGTTATTTGTGCAACCCTGCCTCGGTCCCCAGTGTTCCAGAGCTTAGAAAAGGCCATTGGCTCAAGACAGTAGAAACAGTTTACTTACTGTGGCAGCCCTTGGGCCAGATTAAAGCTGGTGATTGGCAGATAAACTCTTTTCTTCAGCCTTAGTTGACTGCCTTCACTGTTCAGGGCTCAAATTCCCCGCATTCCAAGCCTGACGCTGGTCTCTTTTACAACTTCCCACTTCCTAGTCTAGCAATGAAGCCGTTGTGGTGATTTCAGGTACTGGAAAAGGCCTAGGGACCTCTCCTTGTCAATTGCCATCCTTCCACACATCCTTTCCATCTCCTCCCTCTCACTCCCCCATCATTCATGCATCTCAGAGGTTGGCCCACTGCCTTCTTGAGGAAAGGCCCCTTAATACCTCAAAGCCACCACTGAAACAATCCACTTTGCTTCCATCCCAGCAGCCATAATGATGCTCATTTCTGGCTTCCTATTCTTGCTCCCGCTTCTTTTCCAGAACCAGGGAGTTGATGGGGTCCCTCCTCAGCTGAGAGGTGAGTCACAGAATATCTTAGCATTTACAAAACTTTGCCAGGTTAGAGCAGTGGTACAGGAGGGGAACACAGAAAAAGGCAGCGGTGTGAATTTTTGTGGCTTAGATATTTATATGACGTATCCCCTTCCCTTTTCCTAGGAGCCTTCTCACTATAAGGCTTTCTTCCCAGCTGATGCTTGCCTCTTAATTTTGGAA